CACACCTCCATTCAGTGTACCTTCCTGGGCACCACCAAGGGTTATCCCCATATTTTCGGTTGGGTTTATGGGTACAAACTTAATACCCTTGGTGCCTCTGCTTGGGCTATAATACGAAGCTATACAGTGGGCTACATTATTTTTAATATTTAGTTCACCTCACTTTTGCCTCTCCTTACTTTTGAAGAGCTTTAATTTTAACCCCTTAGTAATCTTATAGAATGTACAGGAGAAGGTAATAATGAAGTAGATCATGATGCAAGTACTACATAGGCCACAGTTTGTCATCTGCCCAATGTGAAAAGCCATGGATTGAGAATCCAGGCTAGACTATGAATATAAAAGTTAAGATCTAGCCTGCCATTTATTATTTATTAGCCATGTGATCTAATTTTAGTTTTTGAGTCCAGTTTCATTAGCATTGGCCTCACTTAAATTGGTTTATTGTATTGAAAATAACTGAAGATGGTATGTGTGAAATTCCTTTGAAATGTATAGTCTTATATGAAATGTGTAGTTTTTATTCTTTTATCCAATAACATTTTTCCCTAGTCCATATAAGTTTTTTCCCCAAATTGGCTATTGTAGCCTAGATGCTGCTCATCTTCTGTGAAATGTCTTTTTTTTTTGGTACCAGGGATCAAACTCGGGACCTTGCGGTTTCGAGGCAGGCGCTGGAACCACTGAGCTAAATCCCCGGCCCCTTCTGTGAAATTTCTGTACTTTAGGACAAAAATCAAGAGACATTTTGGAGAAGGGCTACATCTAATCAAGTGACCATCCACCATGTTGTGAGGAGAGCATTGCTAAGTTGGCATTTGTCACATTTGGACAGTGTCACTCTGTGATAAAATTCCAATTACTCCTAAATGTGAATTTGAAACAGCCACTGAAATTTAAATCTTATTTCTTTTTGAAAGCTTTTCATGATTAAATCAGCCTTAAAAGCTTTTCCTTGCTATCACCCTGGGATAGTATAACAAGTAGATTATGTGGTTTTGGGGAAATAGAGAAGAGAATTTTTTTTCTTTTAGTATCTAGCAAAAGTGAAAGGTAATCAAAATTACACAAACTGTGTTGTAATTCACAGTAAGTTTTTTTCTGCTGTTTTCAAGCTCCTTTGTAGATCTTGTAGTGTGACTGAGGGAAGTTCACAGTTTGAGGGCCTAGTTTTCTCCCCTTCCTTCTTTTTTCCTCCCACTCCCCAATTTTGCCTACTCTTAATTAAAAATGAAACATGAAACAATTTATTATTTTAGTTTTATGGGTAAGTTTCAGTTTGGTATGATAAACTATTTCCATTAGTTTGATTAAATGCAAAAATTTTATCCTGGTATACCTGGGCTTTCTTTGTTTTCATTCAAAATGATCTATCCAGTCATAGTAAATATTGAATAAATATTAATAAAGGTCTGAAAGAACATATTTTGGCCTGATCAAGCATCTGAGGTAGAGCTTAGATCTTTTTCTTCCCCTTGCGTGTTATATAAATGTGGATGCCTAGTTTGTTGTGAGTGAAATGAAATGTCTGCCATTTTAGCATTTTTTCCCCCTAAGGTGGTAATTTCTCGTGTAGGTGATAATAATGATGCTGGTGCATGTTACTTTATTTGAAAAATAAATATGTCATGGCTTTTTTCTGCTGTGTTAAAAATAATTATGCTTATGTATTCCAAGAAAACATTAATATGTAAGCAAATTTGAATATCACATAAGGCAGTAACAAATCTTAGTACTTAGGGGCTGGCTCATGCTAGCCTAGTTCTCATTGAAACACTAAATAACTTAAAAATTAGGATAATTCCTAAAGGGGCAAAGAAGTTTGGTCTCCTAAAATCTTTGGAATGTCATCAAGTTACATTAAAATCATCCCTTTGAAAGAAATACCTCCGATCTGGGTGGAATGTCAGATAGAATAGATTACCTTAGAAGTTATCGGTAACATGAAAATCATATGAGCCCAGCATTTCAGAGTTGGCTGTTTCCTTTGCTTTAGCTGTGCTCCATCGAAGTGACTTGTGAATCAGCCAGTGTGATGGCTGCAACCCTGGCCAATGGTGGCTTTTGCCCAATCACTGGTGAAAGAGTCCTGAGTCCCGAAGCCGTTCGGAACACACTGAGTTTGATGCATTCCTGTGGCATGTATGATTTCTCAGGGCAGTTTGCTTTTCATGTAAGTGTTCACTAGTCTTAATTTTCTCTAACAAAAAACTAGTCTGGGCTGGTTCTTTTAAAAATACAGTATGAACTTTGCTTCGAAAACTGTATTAATTTTTGAAAGAGAGGCTTGTTTTAAGGTTAATTTGTTACAAAACTGTCCCAAATGTTCTTAAGAACTTGAAAGTTTAATTTATGTAGAAGATGTTCTTGAGGCACTCCAAGGTACAAGGTTAGTATAGACTGTGCTTTTACTCGTTAGTGTTCAGCATCACGGGGATCATACACTTGAGAGATTCCTACAGTTCAAAGAGAGGGCATAAATACAGTGTTTGCCATGTTTGGTTACAGCTATAGATGTTTTAAAGGACTGTAAAGTTTAGTTAAAACTTAAAAATCTACTTCTTCAAATTCTGTCACATTTATTTGCGGCTTGTCGAATGTACGATACAGGCCTCTCTCGTTTCATCCTGTCTCGGCATGTCATGGTGCCTTTTAGAAATTTTCGTGCATACTGAACTTGAAAAATAATTATGTATTCATGGCAAGTCTTGTTTCGTCTGTGTGCACACTTCTCCCACTTAACAGCACCATTGTTATATATAAAAAGCTAATGTTTTTCTGTTTTATTTAAAAACGCTAATATCATTAATTTAGTATCACTGCTGCATTTAATATTAACATTTAGCATTCACATTACCTGGATCATTTATAAATTATGATTGTTTTATTTTACAGTTTGTATGACTTGGGCCACATAAGACCATACATTGTGATTGGCATCTCTTTAATCTACAGCTCTCCCCTTAATCTAGTTTTCTTCTTTTTTATTGAAAACACTGTATCTTTTATACTGAATAATTTCTCACAGTTTAGAGTTTACTGATTACATCCATTTCTGTTGTCCTTTGTATTTTTCCTGTAAATTGTTAGATCCAAATCAGATGGGGTTTTTTTGTTGGCTTATTTTATTTAGTTTTGTGCAAGATCACCTCATTGGTTTACTTTTTTGTCAGGAAGTACTTTATAGCCAGGCTGAGTTGGCACAGGCCTGTCATCTCAGCACTTTGGAAAGCTGAGGCAGGAGGATTGCACATTTAAGCCCAGTCTGGGCAGTTTAGCAAAACCCTATCTCAAAATAAAAAATACAAGGGCTCAGATGCAGCTCAGTATGAAGGACCTGGGTTCAATCCCCACTACCCCCTCCCCCAGTGAAGAGAGAGAAGCACTTTATGCCTGCATGTTGGCAATGAACACCAACTACCCTGATGGTGCCTTTCATTGTAATTTACATTATGCCAAGTTTGCATAATGTAGACGTTCTTGAAACGCATTGATTTGAATGGCCATTTGTCTTACTCCTCAGAGCTTTCTGGGATAGTACCATATACTTAAAAAATCTTTTTTTTTTTTTTTGTACCGGGGATCGAACTCAGGTCCTTGCGGTTGCACAGCAGGCGGCAAAACCACTGAGCTAAATCCCTGGCCTAGAAAATCTTTTAAGAAGATACAATTTCTCATTGTTTCCTAGTTATAAATGTTTTTTGAAGATAACTATATAAAAGCAATACATGTAACTACTTCTTAGACTGTCTTTCAAAAATTTTTCTGCATTCTAATATATCCCAAACTGTTTTATAACCTGTCCTTTTTATTCACCATATTAAAAACATGTCCATAAATATTTACCTACATTTTTTTCCTGATACTGTCTTGTATGTGTTTACGTCATGGGTTTTTAGCCAGTTCCCTGATGATTGAGCATGGCAGCCTGTACTTCAGCATGTTCACATGAATCTCCATTTTACTGGGTTATTTCTAGGTTGGTCTTCCTGCGAAATCTGGAGTTGCCGGAGGCATTCTTTTAGTTGTCCCGAATGTCATGGGCATGATGTGCTGGTCTCCTCCTCTGGACAAGATGGACAAGATGGGCAACAGTGTTAAAGGGATTCACTTCTGTCATGTAAGCGGCTTTTCTTAATGACACTGAAGACCATGGGCTGAGCCAGCCACTGATGGATTTGTTACCTGTTTTCCCTAGTTCATTGGCCTAGTACTCAGCCTGCCTGTGTGCCAGGTACTGAGTAGCCAAGTTTGGAGGCTGCTAAGACCTGGCGATGCATCGCTGGACTGTCCCCAACCCCAGTGGGGTGGGCGCGAGGCAGCGCACTTCACACCTCGAGTCCTGGAGGCTGATTAAGAACACCACATCTGACGCCTTGTCTGGTCTCCCAGGAAGCATGGGTTTGATGCGGCAACCATTTGGTCACCGCCCAGAGCACTTGAGAGAAGCTGCGCCCTCAGTGTGGAGGAGGGTTGATTCTTGTCCTTGCCTGGCGGGATTCTCAGTGTGGGGGACAGACGGACAGACCGACAGACATGGGAATAGTGCATGGCTTCTGTGGGGGGCGGGGGAGCCACCCGCCCCGCCCGCCCGATGGTGATGGGCGCTGCCTGAGCTGGGATGGCGCTGTCCAGCAGAGCAGCCCGGTAACTGCGAGGGCTGCTGGAGCGGCAGGCGGTGCTGACCAAGGGCGCGGTTCCCTGGTGTGTGCTTGGAAAGCTGCTCTGGCACAGACTGGGGGCAGGAGCAGAGGTATGGTCCCAGGACCTTGTGGCTGTCCGCGGAGCCAGGAGAGGCTGCATGGGCACGGAGAGTGTGGCCTTGAGGCGGCACTGACGGACGGAGGCCTGACACAGTCGTCCAGTGCCCCAGGACTGCGGCCCTGGTGGGGGCCTACTCGTGAGACTGCGCTGTTAATTTTTAAAAATCCCAGCTCAGCCATTTGTTTTCATTCTGTGAGTTGCCCGTGTGCACCCGTCTCATGGTTAGACAGTTCCCAGGCTGTTTGCTCTTACGCCCTGAGAGACACTGACTCCTGAGACCTCCCCAGACCCCTGCTCCTGCCTCAGCCCTCCAAGTGGCTGGAGCCCCGAGTGATCACTGTGGGCCACAGGCTCCCCTGGCAGGGACAGCTCCCTCTGGCGTCCCCCCTGCGCCGTGTGAGGACCGATTCCTTGCGTGCCAGGGCTCCTGGGCAGGATGCTTCTCCTGGGCACCCCTGCTTCTCGCTCTGGGGTGAGGGGCTCTCAGTGTGGGCTGGGCCAGGGAGCGAAGCTGCCTAGTGAAGCAGATGGGCTCCAGTAGGAGAAGACGCGTTTCCGCACTTCCTGTGTCGTCCTCCTGGCAGTGGAGGGGCCCCTCGCTGTTAGCACCTCTCAGGAAAGAAGAGCCGAGATGGTCTCTGAGCTTCCTCATCGGACTGTGCTTCTCCAGGCCTTGGGAAGCTGCAGTCTGCATTCTCCCCTCTCCCCTCCCTGCATGGCCCCATGGCTGGTGCTCAGGTCCCTGCCTTAGTGTGAAACATCAGCGGCTCCTCACAGCCTCTTGGGTCACCCAAGGCATCTGCTGCTATTTCCCCTGCCCCTCTCTGCCCCCTTGTTCTCCCCTTTTGAAATCCCAAAGACCTTAGAGGTCTGTTGAGCCTAGCATGGTGGCGCATCCCTGTAATCCCAGCTCCTTGGAGGCTGAGGCAGGAGGATCATTGTTGCAGTTCCCGACTGTGGCTAGGCACAGAAAGATGAAAGATTATTCAAGGATCACTTGGAGTCAGTGTCCAGTCTGTACTCCAAGAGGGCCCAGAGGGGCTGCCGTTAACCAGACCCCTTGGTGGGAGAAAGTCTCAAATGATAGCCCTGAACTCTGTGTAAACCTCTGGCCAACGCCCCCACAGATCACAAGTTCGAGGCCAGGCCGGGCAGCTGAGCGAGACCCTGTCTCAAAATAACAAATTAAAGATAAATAAAGAGGGCTGGGATATAGCTAGGTGTTGGAGGGACCCTGGGTCCAAGCTCAGGAGGGTCGGTCCCTCGATCTCAGGGGCCCGCAAGGCTTTTGATCTGGGCTGTGATCTTTCGGTGCATGTTGGTTTTTTCTATCTGAATAACTGAGCTCCTTAAACCACAAGCCTGGTTCCTGCCGGTCCTCACAGGCGGGAGTGCCCAGCACAGGGAGCGCGTGTCGCCCGCCCTCCCCAGGTTCCTGGCAGGGAGCACGCTGGTTTCCGTGCCTCCTCAGCCCCGCCGCCTAGGGCTGTTGCTCACCTAGACTCCCGTGTCTCGCACCCAGGTTCACCGTGGTGGCCGAGAGTCTGCAGCAGGTGCGGCAGCAGCTCAAGAAGCTGGAGGAGCTGGAGCAGAAGTTCACCTACGAGCAGGACCCGATCACCAAGAGCAAGCAGGGTCTGTGGGACCGCACCTTTGCCCTCTTCCAGCAGCTCATCCAGAGGTAAGGCCGCCGATTTGTGTGCGTCTGTCCTCGGAGGAGTGCTCTCCAGCTGCCCAGATTTCCGAGGGGTTTAGTGGCGGTTGGTGCCTTCTGAATTCCTCCTCTGTCTCAGAGGCCCCCACTCATTCCACCCCAGCCTGGAGCCAAAGTAACTTCTTCTGCCTTCTTCCCCTCACCCAGGCTGTGCTGTGCATCTCAAGCCCTCTCTTCTGAACTCCTAGCAGGGCACCTCGCAGCCTGGCTCCCCATCCCCTGACACCCAGGGGTGCCCTCACCTGGACGTGGCTGCCCACCAAGCCCAGCATCACATGCTCACACACACGGTTTCCAGGCTCACCGGGCCTCCTGTGTCTCTCAGGTCCTGGCTGCAGGGACGCCCTGTGCCTCCCCTGTGCGCATCTCCCTCCCACCTTGCGGCCACTTAGCACCCCTCTGCCCAGACAGTGGCGTCCTGGAAGTTTCAGCCTCACTGTCATCCTGAACTCTTCCCTGAGTTCCCAGACAAACGTTCTCTGTCTTCCAGACCTCCGAAGCTCGTGGTCCTCCCCGAGCCTGCCTTGTGCTGTCAGTGGTCCCGTGCTTCTGTTACCTCGGTGGTCCTCCCCCACGCAGGGCCTAGCACTGCACCTTGTGAACAGCAGGCAGGTGTCCCAGGCGTAATTAGGAGACAGACATAGTTAAGTGGAAGAGCAGAGTTCATATCACAGGGGTGTTTGTTTTTGTATCTTGACACTAACAAGTCATACAGAAAATGTCTTGTTTCCCTATGGCTAACTTCCAAACAAAAATGCGTATATGCTGGATTTTAAAATAATTAAGGAGACTTGTTTGTTTTTTGTGTGCAAATCTGACCGTTGGTGCAGATTTACAGAAGAACGTAATTGAATTCAGGTGTTTGCTGTTGGACAGTGTCATGGGTCGTTACAGTCACTGGGTGTGCTGTGTGTAAGTTAGATGTGGGGCTGTCTTACTGGCTGGTGAATGCAGCTTTGTTCATCCAGTTTGTTAGGCTTTTTTGAACTGTTTTTCAGGCTAGGCTCTCTAACTCCATTTCCTTTTTAGTCGTTTAGTTTTTACTGCCTCAGCCTTGATAGAAATGCTAATTTGTCTGCATTTGCTGGGTATTTGCAGCTCCTTTGTGGTGGAAAGACAGCCATGCATGCCAACGCATCCACAGAGGCCTCTGGTCTTGAAGACTGGAGTACAGTTCACTGTAAAGTTGAGGTAATAAAGAAAAAATGCAGCTATGTACACTGCCCATAGCATAATTTGTCTCTGTTATCTCCTAATACAAAGCTATTACAGTGGACCCTCGCTCAAGTTATGACCAGCCTGACATACAAACAACTTGGGTTAGGATCAGAATTTTAGTTTTAACTTATGACCAAAGTCTTGAATTATGACCTGAATGCCAGCCACTTGTGCTTCCAGATGGTCTCGGGTATAGATTTAACCCTTAAAGAGTCCTGGAAGGAACATGACAGCATCCTTTCCTGTGTGGGGTTAATTGAGAAATCCTGGGCCAGTGTCTCTCTAAGGACACTGAGATCTGCCTGTGTACAGGAGAGAGACTGTGAAGACTGTAGAGGAGCCTGAGCCTTCAGTTGACCAGCCTGAGTTACAACCAGCCCTGGGGAACAAATTAAGCTCATAAATCAAGGGTCCACTGGATATAGGGGTTTAAGAGGAAATAGTTTTCAGTAGGCATTGTATTATGAATTCTTAGACTATCCAGGCTGCTGTCTTTTATCGTCAGGATAGAAGTACATCCAATATAAATGCAAATACACGCATCTGTTTTTCCTCTGACTGCATGTAACGCATGTGCATAGTGAAAAGGAGTTCACAATTGCACACGAATGTGATAGAGCATGGCAGTTCCAGCAGCCTCCCTGCTCCTGAGAGTAGGCCCATAACAAGAGCTTCCAGACTCCCTGAAAAGGGAACAACTCTTGAAGTAGATTATACCTGTGGGTTTTTCTGGTGAGTGAATTCCTAGCTTTCGTGAGATTCCCACGGTGGTCTGTGATCCAAACGTCAGTGGACCAACACCACAAATGCCCGGTGTTTGCCTTGCATAGTGTTGTCCGTGTCCACACAAATGCGCAAAGCCGAATGGGTGTGTATGCATTCCTTACACAGACACACATGTAAAACATGTGATGTGCATTATTTCAGTTTTGAAGATGAGAACCATACATGAACATTGTTTTGTAGCTGGCTTTTCTCCTTGGCAGTAGTGGGCGAAGTGTTTCCAGATGAGAACATCTGGCCTTGCTCTGTCCTCATGCATGGCCCATCATTCATCTGCTCCTCTGGAGATGAGCACTGCACCCCCAGAGGGGGCCATACCCTCAGGATTGGCCACACCCTTTCTCGAGGGGTGCTGCACTCCCTCCCTACTGGGCCATGAGCAGTGCTACAGGCTAGCGTCCACGGAATCCAGAACTCAGCACTGCAGGAAGAGTAGAGATGGAATCCATTGCTGACCCAGGACCCGGCTCCTCCCACCCTCCAGCTCATAGAGGAGGGACCCAGAATCCTAGGAGCCCAGCGCTCCAGGCTCCGTCCTTCCACACTGCCCTGATGTACAGGAGGGCAAGCTTCCTTTTTCCGATTGTGGGTGATGGTTTTTCTTTTCTCCCACTAGGACAGAAAAGTAGTTCTAAGTTCTA